AAGACTTCGGGGTGCCTGGGTAGCTCAGTCGGTTAAGAGTCTGACTCTTGATTTTGGTTCAGGTCATATCTTAGGGTCATAGGATTGAACCCCGTCTCTGGCTCATGCTGAATGTGGAACCTGCTTAAGATTCTCTCTCCCTCTCCCCCTCCCCGCCACTGTGCACTCTCACTCTCTCTAAAACTCTGAAACAACAACAACAGCAGCAACAACAGAAGACTTCACCGCCTTGTTAGACCCAGGTGATGCTAATGATCCACCATCTTTCCTTCTTTTCTTTTGAAGATTTATTTATTTGTTTGAGAGAGAAAGTGGAGGAAGGGGCAGAGAGAGAGAGGGAGAGAGAGTCTTAAGCAGACTCCCTGCTGAACAGGGCTCGATCTCACAACCCTGAGATCACGACCTGAGCTGAAACCAAGAGCTGGTCACTTAACCAACTGCACCACCCCAGCACCCCACTACCAACTTTCCAGAAAACAGAACTTTGGGGTTTGGGATCAAGTGGGTGTTACTTTCCTTACAGTGTCCAGATTGTCTCTGTTGTGAATGACACACACCTGTGACAAACACAGCTGGAATTAGGGGATCATTATGCATCCTGAAGATAGGGCACAACTACTTGGTGTACATGAGCTGAAACCATGGTCTTGGTCTCATTTCTTTTACCCAGCTGAGCTGTCCTGTCACAGGTGATGGAAATGGGGCGGTATTGGAACATGTGACCTCTGCTAGGGCCCAGTGGGGGCTGGGTGCTAGCCTGGGTAACTTGGATTTCTAGTCCCAGCACTGTGGTCAACATGTAAGTCCTGTGATGCTGGACAGGTGATTTAAGCTCTGTGGGCTATAGTTACTGCACCTGCCAAATGAGCAGGCCAGCAGGGGAGTGGGGAGGGGCAGAGGGAGAGAACCTCCAGCAGACTCCCTGCTGAGCGCAGAGCCCGATCCCACGATCCTGAGATCATGGGATCATGGGATCATGAAATCAAGAGTCAGACGCTCAACCGACTGAGCCATCCAGGTGCCCCAAGAAGCTTTGCCATGAGCCTTTGTCCATGTTAGAAGAGCTGAACAAATATCAGTATTAGCTCCAGTAGCAGGTTGGTGAATGTTGCCATCTCATACCTTGAAACAAACCCAAACAACTCCAGTGGAATCCAGCACTGAAGTCCTTCAACTCAAAGATATTTTGTCGCAGGGATATTTGGTTGGGCTTTAGGGGGCCCGGGAGACCCCTGAAATTGAATGTAGAGCTTTGTATGTGCATACATATACTTTTGGGGGAGGAAGAATAAAATCAGATTGTTTAATTTCATTTTTCAAGGAGTTTGTGAATCCCTTCCTCTCCTGCGAGTAGGTTGAGAATCACCGTTCTAGTCTTTTCCAGTTGAAATCCATAGTACGTGAGAGAGGAACATTCACTGATTCACCAAACATTTAGTAAAGATCTTCGATGTATCAACCATGATGTAAGGCCCTGGGATTCAAAGATGAGTAAAACAGTAGATCCCTGACCCCCAGCAGCTCAAACTCCCGTGTAATTATGATCCAAATGACTTCAGCTCTCTGAACCTCAGTTTCCTTATCTGTAAATTGGAGCTAATAATCCCAGTATCAGAGAGTGGTTTTGAGTATCACATGAATGAGCTCACAATACCTGGGTAATTGAAAATGAGCAAACAGACAAACATGGCAGTTTGCTGAAGCACAGAAAAGGATCTCCAATTCAGACAGAGGTCTGGGGGAAAACTTGTGGATGAGGTGACTCCGGACGGGGTGGGGGAGGTGGTTTCTAAACTACAAGAACATACCGCCATTTTTATGTGTGAGTCTGGAGAGACTCAGCTCCTTTGTCCTATAGAAATTGCATTTCTTTCTTCCTCTGCAGGGTGACTCGGGGACATCAGAAGACTGAGGTTACTCCAATGCCCTCTCCTCTCTCTTTTGTGCTCCATCTCCCCTCCCCCTCGATACTTACTTAAAGAGCCCCATTCCCACTTGAGCTGTGGAATCTCGAGGCTTCCCTTGAAGCATTCTGTCCTGGATGGCCTTGCCGAGCGTCGAAACATAGCTCTCCTATGTCTGCATTCTCTCAGAGCCCTCAAAAGACAGGGACTCACAACGGAGCACTCTTACAAGTGAGGCGCTGGCCTAGATTTTTCATAGGTGGTGTCATCGCTTTGATGAAAACATTCGCTCAATGGTGTTGGCAGTGAGTGTGCCCTATCCTCCTGCGCATCCTCCGCTCAGAGGAGTCACTGGTGGGATTCCAAGCACAGTGGCACAGCCCACAAAGGAGATACGTGGGAGGCAGGGTGGGCAGAGGAGCTCAGAGCACTTAGGAGCTTGCAATGCTGTCACCTCTGTGGGGGGCGGCGGGGAGAGACTCAGATCCAAGGCAGGGCCTCATGCGGCCCAGTGCAAACTGGAGTAGTATCCAAAAGTGCTGTCTGATAAGCAAAAATAACTAGAATAATTCCAATCTTGAGAGCACCTTAGAAAAAAACACTGCAGGGGAGCTGATTCTCTGCCCAGAAGGGGATCCCCCTTCCCCCTGCTAGTTTTCTGCTGCCCTGCATTGGCTCAGCACCCTCCCCCAGACTGAATTTCTCCCATCACTCACTCCTGGGACTTCTCTACCCCTCCACCAGCCCTTCGTTCTGTACACTTAGCTCTCCTGCTTCTTTTTTTTACTTGTCTCTATGTTCTATCGGCTTCACAAAAGGAAACTGAAGTCTCTCTAGAGGGTGCAGAAGGTGGGGGGGGTATACAAGCTGGCCAAATCACAGATTTCTTTACTGGATGAAGATGTGGAGAAGGGTTGGCAGAAAGAGAGGGTGAGAACACTCACAGGTGAAGGAATCATACCTGTAAGACCAACCCTGACATAGCACACAGGGGTGGGTTGTCTTTTGATTGATGAAACAAGCATGAACTCCCCCAAAATGAGCAGATCTCATCTCCGGGAGGGTTAAGGAGCCAGTGGTGATGTCTTGCATAGGATTAAAGCCAGCTTAGTTAGCTATACTCTTCACGGCGAACTGTGTTATTTTAAGGGGGAGAAAGCCTGTCTCTGTTACATTGCTTGGAAAACGTGCTTGGCATGTACTTTGGGGCAATCTTATCTCTTTGTCAGTTTCTTTTCAATTCTCTAGGCTTTGCGTGGAGGGGAGAGCAAGAGGAAGACCTGAGAGCCCTTTGAATAATAGGACTTAAAACATCAGATTGAAAAAATCTATTAACTTAGTTACCGTAATTCTCAATGAATGAAATGTTGGGAAGGCGTCAGAGAAAGACCTGGACATGTACTTGTGCCCTTTTGCAGGTGGGGAGATCAGAAACCTCTCTCCTCATAAGAGGAAATGAAAGACATGTTAAAGAGAAGAGGCATTGTTTTCAGAAGGGCATTAGGCAAATTAGGTTTGCTCGGGCTTTTATTGACTGGGCAAACCGGTAGGTCCTGGCTAATCCCAGGTTCACTTCCTGTCTACATTCCTTCCAGTTCTATTCACACCTGTTTGCTCCATCTATGTACCATGTTCATCTCCATTCTGTGAGCTCCCTTATCGCTTTGTTCAGACTGCTTATGACTCTTTGTTACTCTCATTGCCATTTGTTTGCAGTTCTCCTGTGACACTGAGCTTCCACAGACAGAAATCTCATATTCATCATCTCTGCATTTCCAATGCCCCTCACGTGCCTGGCACATCCATTCATTCATTCAACATCCATTGTGTGTCTTCGATGTGTCGGGCTCTGTGCCCACATTCACTGTCTCAAGGTAGGCAAAGGCGATATGAGTCCTGTCCTCATGGAAATGACAGATGAGTAGGAAAGATGACACCGTAAACCAATAATCATACACACACACACACCAGTGATATACACACATAATTAGCACATATTGTGAAGAGGGCTTTAAAGAAAAAAAATAAGATGCTATTGGAGTCAAGGGGTGGGGGTGCAGAACTGATTAGAACAGAGCCAGGGAGTTTTTTCAGAAGTGACAGTTAAGCTGGGCCCAAGAGAGTAAAGGAGGTAGAGGGAAGAGAAAGGAAAAATTATTCCAGGTTGAGGAAAGAGAATGTGCAAATGTCCTGAAGCAGGAGAACGTTTATTGACTTGGAGGAAGGAAGGCCAGTATGACCAGCTGTCATGAGGATAGAGTTGTTGGGGAGGTGGTCAGGAACCAGCTCAGTCCAAGCCAGGTGAACCCCATGAAGGAAGTAGGATTTTATTTTAAGCACTATAGGAAGGGACTGAATCATTTTAGAAGCAAGGGGATATGATCCCATTTCCTTCTTTAAAAGAGCACAATGACTGCTGTGGAAGGAAGAGAGGGACAGATATGCCCCCAGGAGATAGTCTGGGGGAGGGTCTCATTGCACTGCATTGTGTCACCAAGGTGAGGGATGTTGGTGGCTGGGCAGCACCAGTGAGGAGGGAGAGGAGAGGTGGATTTGAAGAATATGAACCATCTCTCAGGTTGTTTCATTGTGCCACTTGCCTAAGGTGCTTCTTTCAAATGTGGATGTACACATTCCTCTCTGGAATACTTGAGAAAAGCACTGTGTAGACAAAGGAGATGGAGCAGACTGCAAAGGCTGTCAATGCCCCTTGCAATCTTCTGCCCCATAATTCTCTGAAAACACAAGTCAGACATGAGTCGCCCATTCATTCCGCTGACACCTGGGGAATGCCTGTTGAGAACAAGGCATTATGCTAGCTATTGTGAGATGACCTGTCTGTTTAAAAACAAAGTAGTGCAAGATGATTGATGAAAATTTAGGACGAGGGGCGCCTGGGTGGCTCAGTTGGTTAAGCGACTGCCTTCAGCTCAGGTCATGATCCCAGGGTCCTGGGATCGAGCCCCGCATCGGGCTCCCTGCTCGGCGGGAAGCTTGTTTCTCCCTCTGCCCCTCACCCTGCTTGTGTTCCCTCTCTCGCTGTGGCTGTCAAATAAATAAATAAAATCTTAAACAAAAGAAAAGAAAAGAAAATTTAGGACGTGAGAAGAGTATAAAGAAGGAAAAAATTTTCATTAGGTATACCACCCACTATTAACATTTTGAACGATTTCCTGTCTTTTTTCCATTGTCATTTGCATGGTTACATTTATTTACATATGTAAATGGGGATAGTATGTATAGTTTTATGTCCCCCATCAAATTTTTATTATAAGGTATCCTGCATCCAAAAAGTCCATAAATATGCATGTGCAAAGCTTAAAGAATAAAAAAAGATATGCACTCAATCAATCACCAGCTAGGTAAAGAAGAAATTGTATTATCTCCCCCTTTGCATTCCCCTCTCTTTATCCCTTAAAGTAGCCAAATGCAGAAAGAATCAGTGTTCTTCACCTTGTTCATCTATTTTATCATTCAAATTGCAGCAGGAGGGAGATATGCCTACTTTATCCAATCTGACGCAGACGCTGGAAGATGTCTTCAAAAGGATTTTTATTACTTATATGGACAATTGGCGCAGGAACACAACAGCTGAGCAAGAGGCCCTACAAGCCACACTGGATGCTGAGAACTTCTACTATGTCATCTTGTACCTCCTGGTGATGATCGGAATGTTCTCCTTCATCATTGTAGCTATCCTGGTGAGCACAGTGAAATCCAAGAGGCGAGAGCACTCCAATGACCCTTACCACCAGTACATCGTGGAAGATTGGCAAGAGAAGTACAAGAGTCAAATCTTGAATCTAGGAGAATCAAAGACCACCATCCATGAGAACATGGGTGCAGCAGGGTTCAAAATGGGTCCTTGAGAAGCAGAAGAGGCATAAAGCCAACATTTGATATCCGGGTCCGAAGAGATGCCGTGCCATGGAGCAAATCCAAATCGTCATTTGCTTGCTGTTGAGAATTTTCACGGAGACCATGTGGCCACTCAACCAAGACAGATGACATTTTTTTTTACTATGATCTCTTATCTTTATTTTTTTTCAATTTTATTATGGTAGTCACCATACATTACATCATTAATTTTTGATGTAGTGTTCCATGATTCATTGTTTACGTATAACACACAGTGCTCCATGCAATACATGCCCTCCCTAATACCCATCACTGGGCTAACCCATCCCTCCACCACCCTCCCCTCTAAAACCCTCAGTTTGTTTCTCAGAGTCCATAGTCTCTCATGGTTCATCTCCCCCTCTGATTCCCCCCCTTCATTTTTTCCTTCCTACTATCTTCTTTTTTTTTTTTTTAACATATAATGTATTATTTTTTCAGAGGTACAGGTCTGTGATTCATCAGTCTTCAACAATTCACAGTGCTCACCATAGCACATACCCTCCCCAACGTCCATCACCCAGCCACCCCATCCCTCCCACCCCCCTCCACTCCAGCAACTCTCAGTTTGTTTCCTGAGATTAAGAGTCTCTTATGGTTTGTCTCCCTCTCTGGTTTCATCTTGTTTCATTTTTTCCTCCCTTCCGCTATAATCCTCTGTCTTATTTCTCAAATTCCTCATATCAGTGAGATCATATGATACTTGTCTTTCCCTGATTGACTTATTTCGCTTAACATAATACCCTCTAGTTCCACCCACGTCGTTGCAAATGGCAAGATTTCATTTTTTTGATGGCTGCATAATATTCCATTGTATATATATACCACATCTTCTTTAGACAGATGACATTTTAATTTTGGTGATTTATACTTGCTCATCGGAGCAATATTTTATGCGGAAGACCTCTCTTACTTTCTGGGCAATATAAATGGCATTTTAATCAATGTCCACTTTGACAAATTTTGTCAAGTTAGTGAAAATAAAGTCAAATTTGAAGTGAAGTGCCTGTGTGCTGACAATGGGGTTAGAGGGGGGACTAATAAATCACAGAACCTTCTTTCTTTATGAAACACTGGTTTGTATGTGACGAATTCACTTTAGAAATAACCCAGCTGTGTTACCCAGAAGCTGTGGTTCAAAAATGTATCACTTGCTCCACCAGCTTGACATCCGAGCATCTATTTATTAATTCAGGAATGCAGAGTCCGAAGTGATGGACGAACAGAATCACCAGGTTACTTTATGGGTATTGTTTTCCCAACATTTTGCTTATTTGGAAGTCTGAAGACAGAACAAACATTCCACAAGGGCAAATAGTCCTCAACGGAGACGTAGCATCACCCAGTACAACAGAAACATGTTTTAAAATTAACATCTGAAGTTTTCCAGAAAACTAACTCTTCAAAGCTCTTGTTATTATAGAAAAAAATAAGGGAAAGTTGTAACATCGCCTTATAAATAACATATTTTTTGACTCAGTTTATCTTCTTCCATTTATATTTATTTTCACTTATGTTTCAAGAGGCTGATGGTACAGAAAGTGATTGCTGATGTCTGTTGAAAAGCTAGACAGTTCATTATATCTAGATACTGCATTTTGGATGCACTCCACAGATTAGGTGATTTCACCTGCTAATTAAATCAAGCAATATTTAACACCTGTCTACTTGGGCTACGAGCATAGACCCCAGGAGTGTGGAGATGAATGGGACTCTCTGAGCTGGAGCCACCTACTCATTAGAGAGAATGAGGTACATACAGAAACATCACGATGATAGAACATGACCGGTTATGAAGGAGATTAACACAGAGTGGGCAGAGCGAGAGCAGGGACGGAGGGCAGGCCTAACTCGGTTTAAAGTCTACTCTCGGGTGCCTGGGTGGCTCAGTTGGTTGGGCGACTGCCTTCAGCTCAGGTCATGATCCTGGAGTCCCAGGATCGAGTCCCGCATCGGGCTCCCTGCTCAGCGGGGAGTCTGCTTCTCCCTCTGACCCTCCTCCCTCTCATGCTCTCTGTCTCTCATTCTCTCTCTCAAATAAATAAATAAAATCTTTTAAAAAAAAATAAAATAAAGTCTACTCTCTCTGAGTCACTGAGAGTAGGAAGTCAGAGCGAAGACAGATGTATGGGGTTGTGACTTTGTGCCTCCCAGCTTACCTTTCTCCTCCCCCATCTACTCAGGCAAAGCACAGCATTGTGAGTAGGGCCTCAAGTCTCAGAGTACTAAGACAAAATTCAAAAAAGAAGCCCTTCTTCAAGTCATGCTTGTAGGATGTCTTCCATCGACTACAAGGATTCTATCGCCAGAGTGAGATATCTACAAGGTATCTGTTTCTTGGTAACAAATGTGCAATTATGCTAACATAAGCCTTACATACAGTGTTATGGAAAGCCGTTTATATTCCCAGAGCAGATGTGGCAAGAGTGGCCTCCTTCCTCAGATCAGAAACCCAGAAATGCTATTGCACACAGAACATTTATCCCAGTGTGCCCAGAGCGGCCACCTGGGCTACAGAATCCTGGCTTTGGGTCTGGATCCAGACAGAAATCCAAGGTTTCCATCGGGTGACCAAGACTATCTTCTTCACTAACCTCTGGTCAGGTTCTTTTGGGCCCTCAAGGAGGCCTCAACCTTGGCTTATGAACACTGCATACACTTGGTATAAATGATTTTGTCCCCTTCTCCATGCTACGAGACTTGAACTAACACTAGCATAGCTTCTAACAGCTCAAGGCTTCATCCCTAAGAGGACACCAGGCCCCTTTGGAATGCCCGCCTGAGAAAGCTCAACAAGCTGCCAGGAAAATTTACTGTTGGTTCCAGCCAAAACCTGGAGATAAGCAGATCAGCTCCCTGAATTCCCTCTAAGAGCAGTTACTTTAGAAAACTTGTAATTATAAATCTTTTCTCTCCCCCTTTGGGATAAAAACCTTTTACTACCCAGAACTGTCTTGTCTCTGGAATGCCAGCATTCACGGAGGTAATTCTCCTGACCGAGAGAGGGAAACTTGCTCTAACCTGCACCCTTGCCTCTGGTCATAAAGACAGAAATTTGTTTCTCTTTCAGGTAAGTGCCTATTAACAGAACCAGATCAGACTGACTAATCCTCCGGTTTTTATAAATATCCGCTTCCCTGATTCTGCCCCACTGACCCCACTCCCTCATTCTCCCTTTAAAATGCCCAGTTACCACTGCATAAATCAAAGTGGACTTTGGTTTACACTGGGCCCTCTTCTCTACTGCAACAGTTACTGAATAAAGTCTATCCTTAAGGCTTTCACTGGTGCCCGGTTTGATCTTTGACACAGAAAACCAAATGGAAGGAAAGAAATTTAGATTTTTCTAAGCAAGTACATTTTATAATCATCACTGAAAGTATAGTGGCAAGGTAGATGATTATCAGCCAACTTTGCTTTTGGGGGATGGGAGAAATGGCCGATCTTTAGAAGCATGCTGGGTATACAGTTGTTGAACCACTTGCCCCAGTCTGCCACTTTAGCATGGATTCCCAAAATTCCAGGCTGGCCACTTTCAACTGGGTAACTAAGATGCTAATTCAAACAACTTGCTGGTACACCGCAGCGCACCCCCCGCCCCCGCCCCGTTTTGCTTTTAGAGCTCCCTCCGCTTGGACGACTGGCTCCATATGACCTGAATCCCACTTCCTTCTTACAAGCAGAGTTCACACGTGGTTGCAAAAGGAGCCCATGTTAGTTGCTGCCCTGATGGGAATCTATATCCACCCCTGAGAGTCAGGTCCCAGCTGCGGCACTTGCTGACTTTCAAACCCTGGGCAAATTACTTTAATGTCTTAGCGTCTCCACTTCTTCATCCGTGAATTGGTTATTTTATGTCCTTCTATAGGCCGGTGGTGAGACTTCAGAGAGACCAGAGCCTCACAGTGCTCAGGACACAGCTAGCGTTGTTATTTTCTATAGGAAAACTTCGCTTGTCGACACAACTAAACCCTCCACCCTCTGTTTGTCGCTTCCTAACATCTGTACTTCATCACAAAATGTCACAGTGGGATTTGGAGTCGGTCCGCCTGTGACTGCCAAGTCGCGCGTTTTCTTGCGCCAGCCGCTTATTCTCCCCTCGCTGGTTTCCCCAATCCACAGAAAGAACTCCGTGAATACTGGTCTTTATTCGGGGTCCGGCTTGCGCCCTCCCGTGGGGCAGGGACTGAGCGTCCCCAAACTCCGCATGCGCGTGCTGCGCGTTTGCTGGAGTCTGGGAACCCAGAATGGGGGCTAGCGCTTTCCCAAAGGAAAATGCAAGCATTTTGTCAGAGGAGATGAACGCTGAATTTGGAAACTTCTGGGGAGCCAAGGATCCTCAGTCGCCGACAGCAGTGGACGCGAGAGGCCCAGCACTGCGGCCGCCCTCCTCCCCCAGCTCCGGTAAATTCAGAACCGTGGCCTGGACAGCAGTGCCCGCCCCGGCCAATCGTGACCCGTGACCCCCGCTCAGTCTCCCAACGCCCGGCCCACAGCGGCTCACTGCGCCGGCGCGCCGAGCACAGCGCCGTCGGAAACAGCCCGGGCCCACTGCGCCGGCGCGCGGTGCGGTGCATTTCGGGACCTGTAGTTTCCCCGCCGCATTGTGGGAGTTGCGGTTCGTGTGCAGTCCCGGCGCTGGAGCTTCCGCGGCCTGGAGCTGTAAGTCGGTGACGTCCGCGTCCGGTCAGCGGGACCCTGACCCGAAGCCCGGCAGCTCTTTGGGGCCCTGGGCAGTCGGGTGGACGGCCCCGCGTTTGCGCGTTCTGTGCAGGATGCCAGCCAGCCGGCCCCTTGCCGCGCGGCGCCAGCTCCCCGGGTGGGAACCGGGAGGGGGCTGGCCGCCGCGGCTCCCACGCGCGGAGCGCCCCTGCCTGGCTCCGGCGTCCAGACGCCGCGGAATCCGCGGACCCGGCGCCCGAGGCGCAATGTTTAGGCTGGCACGAGTTCCGGGCGGGGCCCAGAATTGTTCTGGCCAGAGGGTTTGGGTGGATGAGCGAATGTTCTGGACACCCTGTTCTGTGGATGGGCGGGGAAAGCAACGGCCGCCCGTGGCCCGGATCTCCGGGTCTGAGCGGGATAGGTGGTGGTGTTCCCCACGTGTCGGGGCGGAGGGGACCCTGGCGTGGTCCCCCGGTCACGGGGGAGCCGAGATCCAGTGTCTCTGGCCCTGGGAATCCCAGGTGACCGGGGAGTGGGGCTCAGCGGTCCACGGAGTGATGCGCAAGGTTCGCCTGCAACTAGCTCCCTCCTCCCCGCACCTTCCAACTTCCAAAGATTGGGTGAAGAGTTGGGGTGACAAGGGTAGAGACTGGGAACGCGAACAGGTTCGGAACGTTCAGACTGACGTATCCTACTTAGCGGCTCGAAGAGCGTAGACACCAAGAGAGAGATGATCCTGGAGTTTGTTAGGTGTGCTAAGAAGAAAACGTGGATTGTGGACAATATGTTGTCCAGACTGCTTTCACTGGCCTAACCCAAATAAGCGGATAGCTTTTCTGGTTTTTAGGAGAAAACTGGCAAAGGAAAAATGAGGCTATTTTTACAGGAAAGGAGACAGAATCGTTTCTATCTAAGCCATTGTTATTTTTCAGATTTAAGCTAGGATTGTGGATAGTTCTAGGGAAAGGCTAAAGCCTTCCTGCACTTCATGGATTTTATACCTCAAAAGTGTTCCCACCTTTTGGCTTTTGCGGTTCGGCCCTCAGATATGAGCTGTCTGCTCTGTCTGATGCCTCAGCAGGTGTGTGTGCCTATGGCCTGGAGCCAATAGCCTGCTGATATTTTTAGCTTTCTCAGTTGTTCTCATTTGCCAAAGTCCTGCTGGGGTGCTACAGAAATGGCTGAGTTGGAGCGTGTAATTGCAGGGCGATGGGGAAAGTTAGCATTTGGAGGCAGCAGGTGGGAATGAGCTGGCTTGATCAGCCTTCTAGTCTCCCACTCTCTCACTGCATCCTTTCCGCTACTTTGTTTGCAGGTTGACTTTAAACATGTTTCTTTCTAAAGAGCTTGAATGACCTCACTCTCTGTATGAAGTCCAGGCAACTGCCAGTAAATGTTCATAGTCCCATTCTGTGGTATCCCAGAGAATGGTGACTTACGAATGCCAGAGTTGCAGAGTTGTTCTTTGGATTCTGGTTTTTAAAGTGAGAACATGTTGGTTCAGAGAGGTGAATGGCTTACCCTAGGTCACGTGCCTGCCAGGGGTGCCACCAAGAATAGAGTCCAGCTCTCTTGGTCCCTGCTGTCTTGCTCTGACTGCATTTTGCCTTGCTTGCCTCTTGTTTATGGTTCTTAAGCTTGGCATGTCCATTAGCAGAGAGAGAGATACTTATTGTGACAATAATGGTTGATATTTATTTAATGTTTTCCATATGCTGAGCATGGTGCTTTGTGTTTACAATCCAGCCTCTGAAGAACTTAAAAATGAGGGACCTGAGGCTCAAAGAGGCCAAATGGCTTGTCCAAGGTCACACTAGTCTTAATCTTAGTCCTGGCTTGCCAGAGGGCCAGACCATTGGGTGGTGTTGTTTATTAAATCAACACTATTTTTTTTTTAATTTCCTTAAATAATCTCCACACCCAATGTGGGGCTCGAACTCACCACCCCAAGATCAAGAGGTGCATGCTCTACCGACTGAGCCAACCAGGGGCCCCACTGGGTGTTCTTTTTAATTTACTTCCTCCTTTGAGCTTTTTGGACCTATTTGTCGTCCTTGACCTTGGGAATCAATATCTTACATTAATCCATTAATGTATAGGACATTAATCCATTAATTCTTATGTTAATTTATGTAATTAATATATTAATTACATTAATAGGACCTCAGAAAATTAGGAACAGCCAAACCTACTATATTTGTACACAACTCAATTAGAATAAAAATAAAATTTACGTGACCTTAAACATTGCAAATTACAATATGGCTAATCCCTGAGGTTATCTGAGATTCCTGAAAGTAAAAATTCTAGCAATAGGTTATAATCCATTAGGAACATACCCCTCCAGTGCAAGTCAGAATCTGCTGCTACTTAAAGACAACCTGGCCATTTATCCATGAAGAAAACGAGCACCTTCAATCACCGTCATCACATTTAAACAGATTTATGGTGTACGTTCCTATCATTAACTTATCTGGCTTTGAAAGAAGTCATGGGGAAAACTTGGTTATCTTGTGCCAACCACCAGCCTGTTTTCCAGATACTATGACCTTGAATAGATGAGGCATGAATTTTCTATATTTAGATGTTTTTGTAAGTAAAAGTTTTAGTGAAACATTTTTCCCTGAAGTTCTTTTTATTATCCCCCTTCTAAAGGCCTGTGACATTTTCTTGTGCTTTTCTTAATTCTAAGTACATGTGGAGACAAGCATCTGCATGATTTTTGAATGCACATCTTTCTGCCTACATCAGGATAAGACCCTGGAGCCACACTGGATGGGTTCAAATCCCAGTCCCTGTGTGACCCTGGATACGTTACATAAACTTTGTCTCCTCGTCTCTGAAATGGAACAATAACCTCTCCCTCCTAGGGCTGCATGAGTTCATGCAGCGGATGCGCCCTCGTGCAGCCCAGCACCGTGAAGTGAAGCTATGATTGTGCTCTAAGTTGCCAAATTTCATTAAAAACCGGGGCCCTAGAGCCCATTTAGTCGACACCCCCTTTCTTCATTTACAGATGGGACCAAGGCCCCAAGAGGGAAGTCACTTACCAGAGTGTGTAGGTTCTTCATCCAGAGCTCAAGTCTTCTGACTCTTGGGGTATGTGCCATATTCTAAAAATAGCCACAGAGAAGGCCTTGGGGCAAATGCTTTGCTCCAGCTGCGTCCCTGACCTCCACTCCCTGCTTCACCTTCCCCTAGGTCTCCCTCACAGTTGAGATGAAATTCTAGATAGCAATTGCTTTCAAAGGACAATTTTTTTCCCTATCATTTACTCCCCTCCAGATATTTTTTAAGAACCAATTTTTGCTTCATTAACACTCAGAGGACCTGAAAAACAGAAAGACACTCATCCACAAACCAGCTCTTGCCCAGGGCAGGAGGTGGGTGGAGAAGTAGGTTTTGGACTTGGCTTTTCTGTCCACAGATGAAAGGCATGGGCGCACGTGTCCCCTTAGGAGCAACACTGTTAGCTCTGCTCCGGGCTGTGCTCCCACTCCCGGCAAAGAGCAGCTGGGGAGACGTTTCTGCTCACCAAGACCCAAGCCTGTGTCAGCCCTAAGCCAGGCCATCTGCTTCCCACCAGGCTCTGGGTCACCTTGTTGGGGACACTGACTCCTATCTGCAGCCCTTGCTCTCTTTGCTCATGCGCCCTTTCTCTCCATTAAAGAGGTCTTCCTATGGTGATCTGCTCTGGAAAACCCCGAGTGACCTGTTTCTTCTCTTCTCTACCAGAATAGCAAGACCTGCCCTTCCAGCTCCTCTCCTCATGTGCTTGTCTGAGTGGGCCCGCAGTGACCCAGAGTGAATTTGCCATTGGCCCAACATGAACTGGAAGGTGAGAATAGTTTTCAACATTATGGCTTGGTTTTTTTCCTTTGTCCTCATTGTAAAAATTCAGAATAACAGTTCTGTAGATGTAGGTTGATTAAAAAGAAAAAAGTGGATTAAAGCAGGAATCCTAATAATACTTTAAAAGTAATATTTTCAGTTAAAACAGATAAAAAGTACATTTATTCCCCAGACTTTTGGAGGAAGGCGAGGCCCTTTCTTTGGGTGTACAGACTTCGGATCTGCCTCACTCTTCTTGCAGAAATCGTGCCTTTAAAGTTTTACCTACAGTTTCACATTTTGGTTTCTTTAAAGTGGGTTAATATTTTAGGAAACAATCTACATACAAGATACTTCCAGATTTTTATGTTTTTCTTCCCTAATCTTTTACATTTGTGTTGCCAACAGCACTTTTTTTTTTTTCAACCTAAATTTGAAAATGCATTGAAAGCATTCGATTTAGTTTTCACGGAAACAATTTTTTCCTTCTATAACATAGGCATATTTCATAAGTATTGTGTTTAGATAAATTATCCATTATAACATCAAGTACAGCTTCAACTGGTTGGGGAATAAGCTTAGCTGACTTCTGTAGCACAGACTCAGTCTCCGGGAGCACAGGTCCAAGGGCAATCAGACGGTCGCCTGCAAGCTGTGGGCATTCAGTGGGCTCTGGGCATTCATGGGCGGGTCTCACAGAGGGAAAGGAGAGTCATCACTTTAAATCCCTGAAGTACATGGGGTGTGGTAAAGGTTGGTTAAGAGAGCAGCCACTGAAATATATTTTATCATAGATTCTTTGGAAGTATAAAATCCGGTAAAAATCGTGTTGTCTCACCCTCCAGAGACGGCTACTAGTAACAGTTTTGGTGTGTTTTCTTCCAGTACTTTTTACATATATGTAAGTGTAGTGTGTGTATTTTCAAACTTACGATCTCACTGGGTGTATTTTTGTTCAATTATGAACCTTTCCTTGTTCAAAACATCCACCAGCTTTCCATTGCAAGGCTTACTGGAAAGATCTGGAAGCAGGACCAGGGAGCTGGGAGAGAGTGAACCCCTTTCCTTCCCCAGCTCCTTTGGGTAGGGGTTTGGGGGCCACCCAGGAGGACCATGGGGACTATTCTCCAGGACAAGCCTGGTTGAAGGTAAGAGGCAGAGTGAAGGTTTCTTGAAGGGGTTGAAAATGGAGGAGTGTTTGTTTAGCCTATATTGGGGTTCCAGGCTCACAGCAGAAAGGCTGGGAAGGAAAGATGAGGCAGTGAGGGGCTATAAGGGGAAGAAACAGAAAGCAGCATGGGGTGGGATTTAGGGAAGGGCTTGTCCTCTCTGCGGTGGCCACAGTCAGTGGGGATGAAAGCGTTCATTTGAGCACCCAAGCCAATCCTGCTTGTGACAAAAAGAGTTCATTCTGATGTCAGGGACAAAATCTGCCCACACCTTTCCAACTTCGAGCAGATACACAGCTCTGTGGCTGCCAGGGAGCATCCTCATGTTTAAAAGGGGGCCTTTCCTTGTAATGTCAGAAGGAAGTGGCCTCTCCTTGCACCCTGACCTCATAGAGCTCTGGAAGGCGGGAGGATCAGGTAGCTCACAGTACATCCTGCGGGCTTCCCTTTCCGGCTCAGGGGGCCTGTGGCCGTCAGTAACAGTTAATGTTGTGCATTAGCAACAGAGTGTGACCTCATTGTTGAAAAAATTAGCTGTCCTTATTACACAAGTATTGGGGATTTATTTTTAAAATTGGTATAGATCTCATCCACCCCCACAATATTTTATTCATTTGCCCTCTTGAAGGTTGGTTTGTTTTGAGAGTTAAAATGAGGGGCTCGTTAGAAATCAGAGGAGAATCTAGCACAACGGAAGCTTGGTACCCTAGCGGGGCAGGAATGGATCCCGGAAACCCTTTGCTCTAAGCCCGTGTAGTGTCCTTGACCTCTGCTGCCACCGCTCTGCCCTCTCCCAGTCCCGAAACTTCTGCATCTTGCTGCCTCCTGTGTCCACTACCTTTAAGAAGAAAATAAGCCTTAAAACCACTTACCTCTGTCCATGTGTTGATGTAGTAACAATTTGGTGCATTTTCTAACTTCTGGTTGAGATCTCCATTCCTGTCCCTGCTAAAGCTGTCCCCTTTTCACATCACAGGGAGCCGTGGGCTGTGATGTGGGCTCCATCATAATAGGACCCACAGACCCAGCCGTAGAGATGGAGAGAACTGGAAGAGTAACTTTTCCCACGTGGATTAGTGCTTCAGTTGGCCTAGATCTACCTAGTGAACATAAAATGGGGTTTCCACCTCTAAACTGTTGATTTTTGCCTCCAAGGAAATAAAGTAAAAGAACATTTAGCATTTTTTTTTCTTTCAAAGCTGGTTTGTAAACATGGAGTCAAGCCTCATTGTGACTGAGAACCTTCAAGAAAATAGATGAATTAGGGGATTGTTTGGGGGAGGTAGTGGAGGTTAGCTATGAGGAAGATCTGTGTTCTGAGCTGCTTATATTTGTCAGGAGAAAAAGGTTCACTCTTGCAATTTTTTTATTAGCCTTTTGTGCTCTTGCTGGAGTGATCTTTCTGAAGCGTGTATGTTGTATTTATTCTTTCCCGTTAGTGGTTGAAAACTATTATCCAGTTACTCAGTGTTCTTGTGTTCTTAACCGTTTTAGTTAAATTCAGACGATTTAAATATTTGGGTTCCTCCTTTTGTGATCTGATATATTCCTTCTGCATCACATGGCAACCTTCCTCAAATATCCATAAGTAACCAGCTAAATAATTTCAGAGGTAGTGACTCCAGCTGCCTTAGGGAAACTCAGTAGCCAAGGCATCATTTATTTGCATAATTTAGCTGTAAAACTGGGGAGGGTTGGGGAGAACATGGTAGATATTACAGCGTCGTGTAATGAAGAGAGTTCGGGCTTTGGAGAGTCCGAGAACTCGGTCAGACCTAATCTTTCCAGAGTTTATGCTTTCTCAGCCACAGTTAGGACAGTCTGCCTGCCTCCTGGGGATCCGGTGAGGGTCCCAGGGGAGAACGTAAGGGAGTCACTAAGTGCACAGTAAGCTTCCAGTAGGCCTAACTGATGCTCCATCTTCTGCGTGTGAAATCTACGTCTAGGTCTGAGTCATCAAGAATTTTAATAAAATTAGGGCGCCTGGGTGGCTCAGTTGTTAAGTGTCTGCCTTCGGCTCAGATCATGGTGCCAGGGTCCTGGGATCGAGCCCCGCATCGGGCTCTCTGCTCGGCGGGAAGCCTGCTTCTCCCTCTCCCACTCCCCCTGCTTGTGTTCCCTCTCTCGCTGTGTCTCTCTCTGTCAAATAAATAAAATCTTAAAAAAAAAAAAAAAAGAATTCTAATAAAATTGTACAAACACCTATGCACATAATTTATGATTTCGTTAATTCCATTTCCTTAGAAATTGGGACACAGTGGAAAGAAGACTGGCGTAGGGGTTAGAACGTTTCATTCTGAGTCTGGCCTCCTTGTGAATTCGCTGTGTGACGTGGGTTGGCCTCTCCCCCACCCCCCACCAGGAGCTTCCCTCTCCTTGTTTGTGAAACAGGGTGGTGGACTAAGTCATCTGTGAAATCTCTCCCAGGCCTCCAGCTCTGTGAGCATGTTGTTCCCAACTGAAGTTTTCTCTGACCGGTTGAGTTAAACTGTTGCAAGGAGAGACAAATGTTCTTTCCGTAGTAGAAGCCCATTATATAGGAATTGCATATAATAAGTGATGTTTGGCAATTGAGTGATTTCATTGGAATAAATCCTACCTAGTCCTCTAGAATGGTGATCATTCAAAAAAAGCATACCTTTATTTGGGAAGGACTTTTTAATCACAAAAGCTCATAACTGTTATTCAGGTCATATTAATCATGTTTCTGAGACAAGTATAGTATTTGCCTTGATGCTCTTGTGCTACAGAGACTATCATAATAGTGTACCTACTAGTACAGAGAGTAATTCAAATCCATAGCTATTCCCCAGGTATCATTTTAGCCCATGGGTTTTTTGGGGTTTTTTTTCAGATTTTATTTATTTATTTGAGAGAGAGAAAGAGCATGAGGGGGGGAGGGTCAGAGGGAGAAGCAGACTCCCCGCCGAGCAGGGAGCCTGATGCGGGACTCGATGCGGGCCTCGATGCGGGACTCGATCCTGGGACTCGATCCCGGGATTCCAGGATCATGACCTGAGCCGAAGACAGTCGCCCAACCAACTGAGCCACCCAGGCGCCCTTAGCCCATGGGTTAAAGCTTCCCTGTAACAGGAAATTATAGAACAGTTAATAAGTAGCTACGTTTTCGCGTTCTGAATTTTTTTTTTTTTCACGTAGGCTCCATGCTGTGTGTGGAGCCCAGCACGGGGCTTGAACTTGCAACCCTCAGATCAAGACCTGAGCTGAGATCAGGAGTCAGATGCCTAACCGACTGAGCCACCCAGGCGCCCCTTGTGTTTTGAATTTCTTTGTCTTTTTATATTTATTTTACCTTCCAAGGGCTGGTGCTAGTGAGTAGCCACGACCAGGAAGAAAGTGTAGCATGCTAAAGTTGGAGAATCCAGAAGGAAGGTCTGGTCTCGCCTCCCTCGAAGGGGCAGAAGCTCAGAAAGTCCCGTGACTGACCCCGGTCGCGTGGTCGTTGGGCCCCCGGCTCCATCTCCTTTCCCTGGACCACGGGGCCGCCTCAGAAGCAGAGGGCCTGGGGGACTGGCAAAGTGCGTGGTCCGGTTGTGAGAGACCAGAGTTACGTCAGCGGTCCACGGGTGGTTCTCTTGTGAAGCCAGCAGCAGGGGAGTGTGATGGAGGGCAGAGGTAAGCCTCGACTCACCGGTGTGGGCCTGGGGACCTTGTCTGTCCTGGTCACCTGTGTGGCCCCAGCACCTCGCCTCGTGCCTGTTACATAAGAGGTAGACAGTAAAGGTTTGTTAAATGAAGGAACATGAAAGAAACCTTTCTTATCAATCATGGAACATTTAGAACGCTTGCTTTCTTCTTTAAGGTCCTTGAACACGTGCCCCTGCTACTGTATATCTTGGCAGCCAAAACCTTAATTCTCTGCCTGGCATTTGCCGGAGTCAAAATATACCAAAGGAAAAGGTTGGAAGCAAAACAGCAAAAACTGGAAGCTGGGAAAAAGCAGCAGTCCGAGAAGAAAGAGAACTAAAGGGAAACCAGAGGTACTGGGACTTCGCACATGCGGAATGTCCGGTGGGCATTCTGCCAGGCCAAAGAAGTTCCTGTCAGGGACCCTTCCTTTTTTTGGAAAAGGTGTTTTTCTGACTGAAACTCAGGAGTTGGCACAAGGGTGAGCAAAGTTAAAACGGGCAAGGGAAGCCCGTTCTCTTTGAAATGTTGCAGGTTGAAGTTCTGTCCCAGGCAGAGTCCTCCTTTTGTGTGTTAGACCGAGAAGAGGAAGGGAAAGACGGGGTGTGGGTCATAAATGCTTCTCCCCACCCACAGGCATCCACGGAGGCCTCCAGGGAAGGGGGGCGTTGGTGGCAGCAGGACTGACCCTTCATTTTCCCTCCAGCCTCGAGCCTGGTTTTAACCAGGGGGGATGTTTAGCTGGGCAGAAAATCGTGAGGTTGAAAATACATTCTTTATTAGACAGACTTCAGTGGTTTCCATTTGTTAAGTTGAAATGGCTGAGCCTGAGGGGTAATGCCGAGCAAGTAAAACATTCAGACGTTTCATACTTGTCCTTTTGGTCTTCCTTTCTAGAATGTGCAATTTAAATGTCAGCCTGAGTGGATTCCAGCTGAGAAGAAAGACGAGAATTACTGAATGATGTGTCAGAGGATAAACTCCCAACCTGTAGGGTTAACTAAAAATTATATGAACTTTTTTATGCTCTTAAAAGAACCCGTATTTTGTTTACTAAAATAAAATACCTTTGTAAAAAAGGGGGTCTCTGTCTCTGGAATAAGCCAAAGTCTTTCGGTCTCACACAGACACACACCCGCCATGTTGTGAGGGGAGGGAGTTTTGCAAGCCCGCACCCCCCCAGCCCGTCTCAGCTCTGGGAGCCAGGTCACAGGTGCTCTTGACACAGGACTAGGCCGCAGGAGAAGTGGCTTCTGCTCTAGGGGTGGAAGGCTCGGCTGCCAGCCCTCCCCGGCCCTCCGGCCCTCTCCTCTGCTGCCCTCCCCGCACACCGCTCTTCTCTAGCCCGCCTTCTGCCATGTTTTCACTGTTGGGGTGGAGGGAAGCTGCCCGCTCGCTTGCCTGGGGAGCGTTGGCGCCTCTGCTGACCCAGGAGGGTCCCCGTGGGGAGGGCTACAGGGTGAGACCCGCCGGCCACACTGGGTGGGAGACTCGGAAGAACTCACATCCCTGAGTCCTGTCATGAGAGAGTAAGAAGAGCGGGTGTACTGTCCTCTCCCCCCGGTTTGCTTGTTGGGGTTTGCTGGTAAGAGATGAAGGAGGGCGCTAAGCCAAGGAGACTTCCAGATCTGAGAGGAGTGATACTAAGAATTTTTTTGACTCAGCACCTAACAGACTGAGATCTCTATTAAAAGATTCCTGTTGTCTCACTTCTCTGGATACCAGAGTGGGTGAGGGATGAGGATACATAGGGTGCAGTGTTTGGTTTGGTGCCTTTGCTGGTGGCCACGGGGAAAATTTGCATGAGCGTACGATTGATCCTTGAACCCCATGGGTTTGAACTATGGGGCTCCACTTATAAGCAGGTTTTTTTCAATAAATACAGGACAGCACTGTAAATGTATTTTCCTTATGTTTTTCTTTTTCTTTTTTTTTTTTTTATTTTGCAAGAGAGAGAATGAGAGACAGCATGAGAGAGGGGAGGGTCAGAGGGAGAAGCAGACTCCCCGCCGAGCAGGGAGCCCGATGCGGGACTCGATCCCGGGACTCCAGGATCATGACCTGAGCTGAAGGCAGTTGCTTAACCAACTGAGCCACCCAGGCGCCCTCCTTATGTTTTTCTTAACATTTTTTCTCTAGCTTGAAGAATACGTTATATAATACATACACAGAATATGTGTTAATCAACTTTATGTTAGTCGGTAAGACTTCTGGTCAACGGTAGGCTATTAAGTTTTGGGGAGTCAAAAGTTAAAACACGTGGATTTTTGACTACACAGGGGTTTGGCACCCCTAATCTCTGCATTGTTGAAGGATCAACTGTATATTAATAGATGTCCACCCCACTCTGGCCCAGGTTGGTGGAACTTTGAATTTTAAACAAGAGGTGTAAAAGGAATTCTATCTTTCTCGAATTTTACTGTGATTGCTGGATGCTCTTAATCACAATTTAGAAAGCAGAGTTTACATTTGTAGCTTGACCCAACAAGCTACAAATCCCCAAATAGTCAATAGGGCCTGGGTCTCATGGTGCACGAAGAGATGCCGGAACAGAAGTGTAATGCCCTAGGATTTCTGCCCTCCGACCCCAACACTTCCCTGACTTGCTCAGGTGGGGCCCAGAACTGACCCTGGGCCACGGCCAACGCTCCTGCCTTTGTCAGGGTGCCCTGTGCAGCCTGGCTGGCCACCCACCCACCCACCGTGGTCTAGGAACTCTGCCTCTGCTTCCTTCCCTCTCTGGGGATCTAAGGCATTCCTGGCTCCCACGCGGCATCACACCCATCACCTCTGGCCATCTTCCCTCCACGTGCATTCCCTGCTGTGCTCCTCAGAAATCCAAGCACGGGGGCTGTTGGCTTTCCTGGGGAATCTAAATATGCCTAAGCAGTGGATGGTCACATTTATTTTAAACACAGGCGCTTTTCTAGGGGGACTTAAAACTCGGCTCTGGAATCTGTGGAACATGGGGTCATCTTGGAAAATTTGGTAGAGGGGGACCTAAGGATTGAACTTAAACCATTGACCATACCCATGGGTTTTTTGTAGTGTTGGTTTTTTTCCCCGTCACCTTTCGTACACACTCTTTTCTACCACCAGGGGGAGATGAGTAACACCTCCTGGAGTTACTGACAACCATTCCATTCCATATGCCCGAAGTCAGTAGATTTATGGTTTGAGTTTAAAGAATTGCTTGGTTGGATGCATGCATGCATGGGCGAATGTAGGCAGATAGAGAGATTGGTAAGGCCCACAACCGGGACCCCATGTGGCCTGCAGCTAGCCAGCCCCTCTCTGGATCACAATCGTGAGCAAATCCATAAAGAGGAGACCACCCCTGAGTAGCTGAAAGATGTTTCAGAGAGCATAAGCTGAAATCTGTGTTCTCTCCCACAGGGGAGCCCCAGGATCCCCTTACACAGATCCTCTTTAATCTTATTAGACACACCCCAACACCTTTTTATTGGTTTCAAGCTGACAACATATTGAAATACCTTAGAGCAAGAGAGGTGGTCTTTATGAAGCCCACCAAGTCTCTGAGAACTCACTGTATGATCGCCACAACCCCACACCGGGAACACCGCACATTAGGACATTATGTTCCCAATGATGACCTTAGTCTCTAAAGGAAGGTTCAGCTGTGTTCTCATACTCTGCTTCACGAGGCAGAGACACACAGAATGTATTTCAGGAACTGAATAATTCAAACAAAAAGTCTCAGGGGCTTTAGAAAGTGTCACCTCTCCCCAGACAGCGTCCAAATGATCATCTCTAGGGAAACACAGCTGTCTAAATGACTCAGTTCAATGAGATGCCTGGGCCTTGACACCTGACCTGCTTACATGGATGCTCCTTGACATCAGCTGTCCCGTGCAGGTCACCAGTGTGCTGGAGCAAAGCCAGGGGATGACGGAGAGATTCTGGAGGGAAAAGAGAACTGAGGCTGAGTTCTCCAACATCAGCATACACGAGCGGCCGTTTAACATGCAGATTCCTGGGCTAGACTCCAGACCCACCACAGATCCTCAGGGGATCCCAAGGAGGTGGTCCCTGGACCTTCTTTTGAGCTTTAAACAGACAGAAGGAGATGAGCCCCGGAAGCCGAGTTTGGGAAAGAGCATCCAGGGTAGGACGGCGAAGATCCGGAGACAGCGAGGTAGCATGACTCCTCGTTCAGCCCTTACTCTCCCACGTGCTCTACTTCTATTACCTCCACCAGCTGTCATTATCCTCAGATAAGGAGACAGAGGCACAGAGCTGTTAATAGCCCCGTCTAAGGCCCCCAGTTGGCCAGGACAGAAACATTTCTGCACAATGTGTTAGTTACGAATAACTGCTTAGTTTTCAAATCATTGGCTCAGTATTTTCGTTGTGTTTCCAAATGTTTGGGACACTCTCTAATGTACTGATTGTCCTTTTTTCAGATTCACAGTTTGCCCCATCAGATGAAATTTGGAGGTACTTCCCCTGAAAACATAGGGAGCTGATAACTTGAAAACTGTGAAAGAAGTGTTCTGTGACTCCCAACTTTGCAGCAAGCTGTGTGCCTCCTGGGAGGGGAGAGAGACCTCCGTAGCCATAGGGGAAGGCAGAATTGAAGGAAAGGCTCTTCTGGAAGGAGGAAGCTGGAGCATGATCAAGGCTGAAGGAGACACAGAGGAAGGGGGACCGGCTGCAGGAGGAAGTGGGAGGGACCCCGGGGGGGGCATCTCGGGACCAGGCCCTGAAGGCCTTGGAAGCCATGGGGGTGACTTCAATTTCCCCTCTGGCTTGGCACAAGGCCTTCTGTTCCCAATGTGGGAGGGCTGCTGGGTGCAGTGGGGAGAGCCATTGTGGCTTGACTAGAGCCGCGAGGAGCCAGGCTCTGCAATCCTCTCCTGCCTTTCCCCTCAGACGGTGGTACCTTCCTCCCTATTCCCCTGTAACCTCTGTGGTGTCTCCCCACTTCTGGGTGCTTGTGGGTGGGAGAGAGCTGAACTGTCAGGTGTCAGAGTAGCTGATCCAGGCGACAAGCCCAAAATGGAAGAGTTAAGCCTTTAACCACTTCCTCTGAGGGTACAAGATGGCACCTGAGGAAGGACCAGCTGGCCCTGCTCCGTTTCCCCCATGAGCACCTGACTGAGTCAGAGGGCAAAGTGTCCCCAAACCTTCCCCTTCCCCGTGAGGATGTCTCAGCCTCAGAGGAGCCTGACGACCCGGGCCAAGGAGCCCAGGAATGAAGGTGCCAGGCTGGGGGTGCAGATGTGTGACCCGTCAGAGATCGCACGGCCCCGGCTGTCCCCACGCCCGGTGTGGGGAGGGCAGCTTCCCCCATGCGGCCTGCGGGGTAAAGCCTTGCAGTTGCCTGCGGTCAGGCCTGAAAAGTCACACGCAGGGTTCTGTCCCCTCGGTGGGCCAAGTGATGCCTCTGCCCCCCAGTGCTTGTCCTTCCTCTGCATGAGGCCCGACAACTTCTCACTCAGCCCTGTTGTCCTCCTCCATCCTGGCCCTTCTCCCGCCCATTCTTCCTGTCTTTCCGCCCCCTCCGCCCAGCACACACCCCGTGTTCACACAGCCACGTCTCACACACACACTCACATTTCACACACACACTCACACACAAGTCTCACAAGGTCTCATACACACAACTCTCACAGAGTCTTACACACTCACAAAGAGTCCCACATACCCACACACATCTCTCTCTCTCACACACACACCTCTTACACGTAATTTCACACACACAAAATTCTCATGGTCACACTCTCACACCTCACACACACAACTGTCACATGACATACACTCACGGTCACATACTCATTTCTCACCCAGACACTCACTCACACACACTCACTCACACACCCCCTGCCTGCCTGAGTGGGAGGTGGGTAGATTTTGTGCACCTGTTCAAGCTCCTGCCTGGCTTGGCCTTTTCTCCCTGTGATGAGATCCCCACGCTTCCTCTGGTCCCCACACTATCTTCTGTGGCTCTGCCCAGGACTCCCAGCACCAGACCCAGAACTCGGAGCCCCCACTCCCCAAACCTCTAACATCTCACTGACTGAGAGGTACCCCCACCATGAGACTCTGACTGCCTCCAGGGCCAGAGCTTA